AAAAAAAAAAAAAAAAGACCTAAGTCTGACTTCAGCAGGTATTTTCTTTTGCCTGTACATGGACACAAACAGACACAGTGAGGGACCTCTGCATGCTCTTACAGAACCTGAGCACCACTACCACACCAAGTCACTGGCCGTATGTCACCTAATTTTTTTTTTTTTTTTTTTGCGACTGGTAAGGGGATCGCAACCCTTGGCTTGGTGTCACCCGCACTGCGCTCAGCCAGTGAGTGCACCGGCCATCCTTATATAGGATCCGAACCCATGGCGGGAGCACTGCTGAGCTCCCCAAGTGCTGCACTCTCCAGAGTGCGCCACGGGGCGGCCCCCGTATGTCACCTAATTTACACAAACGGGAAGGGAAAACCAGGAAGCCATTCCTGTGGCGTGCAATTCAGTGTTGAAGGACATCAGGGAGCTGATGAAAGAATAACCCCTAATAAAGACAACAGGCCAAAATTTCTTACCAGCATCCAGAGGCAAGGAGGACCCTAGACTGGTGAGGATCTGGAATCAACATGCCCATGTACCCGCAGCCCAGGATCCTACACCCCCAGGATCATTGGGTGGAAAGACATGGATGTGGACTGGGACACAGCTGGTAGTCTCCTCCAGCCTAAAGCCTCCTCATGGAGGCTTGTAGACCCAGGCGAAACAAAAGTATGAGAAAAACTTCAGCAAGTATAGTGTCAGAAATGGCTATAAACCATGAGGAAGTGCCATCCTGACTGGGTGTTTTCTACAACTCCTTCTTCCCAAGAGGCTCTGAACACATTTCCTGCATTCCCATACCCCAGAGATCCCAGACAGTAGTCTGTAGGTCTCCTACTAAAAATCCTCCCTTGAATCTGGGGATTGAACCATCTGAGGAATCCTAACACTGCCCTGAGTGCTGTGAAGCTCTCAGTCCCCACCCCAAGGTTTATGCCAGTTCCACTGAGCTGGGGAACATGCAGCCCTGATGGTGACGATGCAGGACAGGTGAAGGGACATGATGCTGATTTTAAGCAAATGAACTTGCAAAATATTATAAAGCGGTGAAAATTTTCTTTCTGAAACTAAACAGAAACAGATAATATTTTAGTTCTGCTTTTTTGTAGGCATGTTGCCCACAAAGCACTGTGTGGAGCATTAACTCTTATCAGTCAGCAGTGAGCTACAGAGCCCAAATACAGACTGGTATCAGCACTGGTCCACCCCTTTCTAATTAAAGGAAAAGAACGTCTGCCTATAATATAGTTTCACAAAACCTTAAAGGGTTACCAGTACCTGTTCATGATCCACAATGAGGAAAAATACAGGTTTTCACATGTAACATTCCACAACTGTGTCCCTGTTGGACCAGCTCACAACAGTCAGTCAGTCTAATTCATTCATTCAATTCTGTATCGACCATTCAAAAAGGGATGTGGTTTCCTTTCAAATAGTCTCGCTGAGACACTGAATGCTGCCCCCCAACTCACATGTCCTCCACCGTGATGTCTTTCAGGATCTGGCAGTAATCCACATTCCACACGGCCTGGTCGTCCCACACCTTGGAGGCCAGCAGGATCGCCCCTAAAACAATCCGCTTCCAGTTGGCCGGACAGATATCTATCTCTGCATACGTCAGAAGTCTTTCAAGGTATACCTGGGAAGACACGACAATGCCAGAGCTAAATGACTGAGTTGTTTTCTCCTCACCCTAGCATATGTATAGAAATTCTAAAATTGTCTTATCCCATTTCACCAGCCTTTAAACAGGGATTTATTACTTCATCATATTTATTTTTAAAAGGCCAAAAGGCTCAATGAGTCTGATGAAAAACAGGACAAAGGTCACATCCCGTAATTGGACAGTATGGATGTACCTGGCTCTTAAAAAGCCTCTGAGACAGGAACAAATTGCAGGTTAATTTCTCACTCCATCAACTATGATATCAACACAAATTCAACAAATATTCCAACAAAGAGAACAAAGAATGTGAAGGGAACAAACCTAATTTTTGGTCTAAGTTTTTTTTTATTAAAGTTTTATTGAGACAATTGTAGATTTACATGCAGCTGTTGATAAACCAATTTTTTTATTATTGTGGTAAAATATATGAGTACACAACATAAAGTTTACTTACCACTTAATCATTTTCAAATGTACAGCTCAGTGGCATTAAGGACATTCACAGTGTTGTGTAATCATCACCACCGTCCATCCCCAGAACTTTTTCATCATCTCAAACTGAAACTCTGCGCACATTAAATAATAACTCCCCATTCTTCCTACTCCCCAGCCCCTGGCAACCACAATTCTACTTTTTGTCTCTCTGCATCTGACTATTTTAGGTTCATCATACTGGTAGAATCATACAATATTGGCCCTTTTGTGTCTGGCTTATTTCACCAAGCATACTGTCCTCAAGGTTCATCCACGTTGTAGCATGGGTCAGAATTTCCTTCTTTTTTAAGGCTGAATAATATTCCACTGTATGCATATACCCCACTTTGTTAATTCATTCATTCATCAATGGACATGTGAGTTGTTTCCTCCTTTTGGTGATCATGAATAATGCAGCTATAAACACTGGTGTACAATATCTGAATCCCTGTTTCTGACTCTTTTGGGTACATGCTCAGAAGTGGAATTGCTGAATCAAATGATAATTCTATATTTAATTTTTTTGAGGAGCTGCCATTCTGTTTTCCACAGTGGCTACACTACTTAACATTTCAGTAATTCACAAGGCTTCCAATGTCTCCACAGTTTCCCCAATACTTTTTTTTCTATAATAGTCATCCTAATAAGTATGAAGTGGTATCTCATTGTGATTTTGATTTGATACACCTATTTTTAAATAGGTACAATGAAATCATTTTAGTTAAACCTGAAAATGAAACCAAATAATATAAGATTTCTAAATTGGCAGAATTTAGTTTGAAGACAAACATTAGAAATACCCACAATGTCCATCACTTAAGTTGGGTCATGAGGTAAGAATGCCTTTTACAATTTCTCATAGTAAAAATTTACTTATTAGTTTGTTTTACGTTTCTCTGAACCGTGGAATGATTTTTTTCAATAGTTTTTACCAAATACATTTGCGAAGTGGAACTACGGAATCAGAAACAACCAAAATTAAACAGACATTGTCCATACTTTTTAAAGATATTGCTTTCTAAAACAGATGAAATCTATAGTGTTATAATTATTCGCAGTACATGATGTCTGTAAAGTCTTAAATACTGCAAAATGCAAAAAAAAAAAAAAGGCACATGTGAAAAGGAAAATGTTACATACACAAATAAAATGCAGATTGTTTTCCGTTGCATAATACCAACATTTATAAATGGGATGGGAAAGGTTAAAAAAAAAAGAAAGAATCCACACCTGTTACCTCATTAGGGGTTCTGGGGAGGAGGCTGAACTTAGGAAGTTCTTGAGAAAGAGGTTAACTAACATTGATTGGGCGAGGTCTCTTAAATGAAATAATGTATAGGCAGAAGTACAGGATACTGCCAGGAAGTAAACTAATAATTACACAACAAACAGACCACAAGATGAGAATGGATAAACGAGAGGTGTGTCCAAACAAGTGACCTCAGCTCATCATTCACTGTCTAAATACTGAACACTCGCTATGTGCCAGGTCTGAGCTAACTGCTGTGGACACAGGAGGGGCTGGAAAGGGGCGCAGCTGATGGAAGAGGCCACCAGGAGATTCCTGAAACAGTGCTA